CGGTGCTGCTTCTGTGCCAGGGCTGTCTTGAGCCCCAGGCAGGGGGGCTGGGGCTGGAGAGAACAAGTCCTGTGGGGTGGGAGCGTCTGCCCGCACACCGAGGGGTTGGGATGGTGCTGGGCCAGCAAGCCTTGGGCCAGGGGGGATGGATGGGCACAGGTGAGCAGGGAGGTGGCTGGCCTGTAGGGCATGTAGTGGATGGTGCCAAAATCCAGCTGGGAGAGCTCTGGAGAGTGGAAGAAGGGGTTGCCATGGGCTGGCTCCAGGGGAAAGCTCCTGAGGTTCCTCTGAGGATAAGCATGTGGGAGGTGGTAAAGGGCATGTCCTGGGTGCTGGCGGAAAAGGTGGAGTCGCCGTCCAGGCTCCATGTCCCGAGGGGCCAGCCTGGAGCCAGTGGCCGTGGCCTGATCCGAGTCTCTGGCTGTGGACAGAGAAGGGAGCATCCAGCATATGTCCCACAGCTCAGCTGCAGTAGCCCCAGCAACAGCGAGCCTCCACTGCACTTCCACTATGGTCCCACATCCCACCTGTGCCCTGCAACACCTCACTGCCACCACCAAACTGTCTTGATGGTCCTGCACACTCAGCACCCTCCCTGCTGCCCCGACCCTCAGATCCCACCTCCCTTCCCTGCAGGTCCCAGGACTGGAAACCCCTCCTCTTGGTGCAGGTCCCAGCCCAAGCCCAGCAACTTGCTGTACACCGCGGGGGCTCACACACACAGGGATCCCTCTCCATGCACACACCACCCTGTACACCCATGTGCACAGACACATGCTCCTGCTGATGCATCAACTGTATGCATCATGCAAGGGTACATGGACCTCCTGGGCACAGCCCCTGCACCCAACCCCATCCCTGGCTGCGAAATGATGTGTCTGAGCCCTACCAAGAATATTGAACATGCAAAGCGGACATGTATGGTGTTGCTGCAGCCAGGGGTCAACACACTCCCGGTGAAACTCATGGGAGCACGAGATGATCCGCAGTTCCTAGAGAGAGGTGGAGAGAAGAGGAGGAGTGTGAGCAAGGAGAACCGTGTCCCAAGACCTGGATGGGTCCTTCTTGATGGAAGCGAGCCTTATAGGATGGAAAGATGTCTAACGCATGGAGGAGGCTGTGCAGCAGCCTGGCAGCTCTGGTTCTGCTCACTGCATCCAGCTCTGAGGTGTGAATGTCCAGAGAGGTGCTAGCCCTCAGGAATAGGGGAGTTTCAGGCTAAGTGCTTTGGAGATGCAAACCCCACTTTTGTCCCATTGTTTCAACATGGACGTATTATAGACATTTTACGCTGCAGCAACAACTCAGGAGTTGCTGAAGAAAACATCCCAAGTGCCCCCCCCCCCCGCCCGACTGCTCAACTCCCACCCACGTTCCCACGGAAGCTCAGAGCCATGGCTAACTAGCAGCCGTGCCTGCAGCCTACCTGGCCCTCGCTGAACTCCTCCAGGCAAATCGCACAGACCGGGGCTGAACTGCAGCTGCTGGCTGAGTCCCACCGCGATGCCTGCCGGCACCTTGCCTGGTACTTGCGCGTGGCCAACTGCCCGATGGCCTGCATGGTCTGCTGCTGCAAGGAGTCCTGCCAGGGAGAAAGGACACTTTAAGGAGAGGCTCAGTCTTACACTGCCGTACTTCTCATTGCCCTTCTGTTTTCAAAATGGGATTATCAGGAATTTGGGGGTGATACTAATTTCCAGAGGGTGACTTTTTGTCTAACCTGACTTAGCCAGGGTAGGCTTTGTCACCAGCAGGAGACATCTGGCACTGGGCATTCAAAATCACTCAGCAGTGCTGAATTTTTGAGCCCCAAAGGCTTGTCTTTCTATAGGACAAATGGGGTATTCTCAAATCTGGAAATACATCTGATTCTGGAAAGACGATTATTTCATTTGTTAGTTTCTATTAAAAATACTAAATCTTCCACTCTTTACCAATACAGACAATACTGTTAAAATCAAGAGCTTGTGGGCCAGCTCTGCAGCTTTGGGTGCTGGGACAAGCTCTGAAAGGTGCTGGGACAGCAGGCTGCAGTGCTGGTGGGGCAGCAAGAGGAGAGCAAGGCCACTGCATGAGGGATGCTGCCCGCCCATCTCAGGATCACTCCACTCATCCCTAGGCCGCTCCTGCCTCATGTGGCCACATCTTCAGTTCACACAGAGGCACATTTCCCCTCCCAAACTGTGTCTGTTCCTGCCCTTCATGTGTTTCTGTTTGCTCAGACACATCTGCTCCATGAGATTCCTACCTGAGTCCTGTTCAGCTGGCACTTTGTGCGGACAACAAAAATCAAAATGATGACGACCACAGTGCTGACCACCGTGAGAAGAATCCACACATCATAGTCTGGCTGTTGGATAAAATAGGAAAGAAATTACTCTTGTGTGGCAGGGGTGGTAATTATAGGCTAGGCAGGGGAATCCCAATCTCTTCCTGACCATCAGCCTTTGAATACATGATCCTTGGCCAAGCTCTACTTCCTGGCTTTTTACAGGTAAAAGAAAAAGGGTTCAGTCTTTTCTGCACATTCCAGCAGGACTGGAGTTTCTCTGTCTTGCAGCATCTCAGCTCCCTAGAGGCCATGGTCTAAGGTAGCACAAGATGAGAAAATCAAGGCTTGGTCTCACCTGAAGAGACAGGGAATCCCTCGCCTCACTCATGATGTTTAAGCAAAAGAAACTAAATAAGCTGAAAGCACTTTTGAGCCTTTATTTGCAGCGTGTCATCTGAATGCTGCAGACAGGCAGCTCATGCAAAGGGCTGTGATCTCTGTCCCTGGGGATGAAAGCTCAGCATCTTTGGGAAAGTCCTATTCCATGGCACAGCAGCTTGGGAGGGAGGATACAGAAGGCAGTGAGAATGGTGTGTCTCTCACCCAAGCTGGTGGCTCCTTGACCTCTATCTTCACGTGGGCCTCTCTGTTCTTGTTCACAACGCCCATGAGAAGCTCAGCATCATGGCCCCTGATCAGAACCACAGGCTGACTCAGACCTCTGGGCTTTCTCAGCTGTAAAGAAACAAACACAGTGAGAGGGGGTCCAGAACAGCCTGAAACAAGATTTATCCCAGCCCCCCAGGCATATCTGGTTCTTCCTGATGCTTGCACACACTTTAGAGACTGACTGCTCCCCGAAACTTGTGCTATCCGTCTATGATGAAATCAGATGGAAGCTCCTCCTCTTTTGCCAACTCTTCAGGATGGCTTTCTTCATTTCCTCCAATGGTGCCTCCCCATACACAGCTGGACACTGCTCAGTGTCTCTTGTGCTCCTCTTTCAAGCCCCTGTGAAAAGTTCTTGGTCTCTCCTCTTCCATGTGGTAACTGCCAACAACACTGCCGAGTGCTGCCTTCACTACAGAAAAGCTTCCTCCTCTCTTCCTGTGAGACCCATCAGTGTTCCCTCTCCTCCCTCTGTGATCTGCAGGACATTCTGTTTGTTTCTGATCATACCGGCAGTTTTCCACCACGGTCCAGGCAGCCTGGCATGGGCTGGCTCAGCAAGTGTCCGTGTCTGCCCTCTCCTCCAGACTGACCTGAATCAGGGTGGCCATCTGACCTACTAACCACTTCCCATATCCTTACTGAGCAACCTCAGCATCACCTCATGGGCCTGCACTCACTGCTGCATTTCTCTGGCATCAGAAATTAAGTTGTAAGTGCATGAAAGAACCACAAGGGATGGATCCAGCGAGCAGGAGTCAGCCCAGAGTTTTGATAAGCTCAGGCACCAGCTTCCCTCTCTGTCCTCTTATCTAATGCTGGATGCTTTTCATTATCCCTTGATTATTTTGATGGGGAACCTATTTCTTTCCAGAGATGACGGCAGTATTGCTGGAAGAGACCTCTGGAGGTCTCTAAACCAATGTTAAACTTGCAGCAGGAGTATCACCAGCAGCAGAGCAGGGTGGCCATAACTTTGGCTTGAAAACTCAAGAAATCATCTTTCCCCTAAGGTACACCAGGGCTGTCTGTACTAGATGGGATGGCATAATCTGTGACTCCCCAAGAGGAAGCATCCAGCTCCTGGCAGAAAAGCTCGACTGACATGACAATGTCCTTTAAGAGCAGCAACGCGCTGTTCGCAAGCTGCTGGCCTGCTTATGCTGTGTGGAGATCTGGACAAGCCATGGAGTAAGCAAAAGAGAAAAGTGCTGTCTGTGTGCATGGATGAGCTGGGTAAGAGCTAACATTCAAAGCCAACCTGCAGTATCTTCCTGGGACCTCTCACTGCATGTTGGTGGCTGATGGGTCCAACCTGGGCAGATTTTGGCATGGGACAGGGTCACTGTGGTTTAGCTGATAATATCAATGGGGTTTATACCTGATCAGCAGCGCTTTCATCATCAGTAATGTCAAAAAGGATTGCACGGGCTCCACGCTCCCCCGCCAGCTTTGCCTGTCCAAAAGAACAGAAGCTTCAGTGGACATTTTGTATTGTACATCTGTATTAATGTCTACCATTTGGATATGTATCTGCCTCCCTGGCTCTTCACAGGAGAAGGAAGCACCTGCTGCTTAGATTGACAAAGTAGTTTACACCTTGATTTCTGTACTTGTGTTGAGCTGCACTGCCTGCTCTTTTTAGAGCTCTGTGGTTCATGGACGGTTTCTCCCTATAGTTGGGGAGGCAAATTAGTTGGTGGGCTTGCACCAACACCAAATTCCCCAGCCGTCTGTGCCATGTGCCCCTTTGCTTCAGAGCTGGATTTGCAGCCCCATTAGCCCTGCTGACCACTACACAACCCTCCCATCCCAGGACAGCAGAAACCTCTGCAGGTCCCCACTTCTCACCATGGCTGCACCAGCCGTGGGCTGTGTATGACTGACTCCCGTACACACTGCTCTCCCTGGTCCCCATCCCCCACATTCATCAGGGAGAAGCTCAGGCGATGCCTGGGCTGCAGGTCTGGTCTAGGATTAGGAGTGGGATGGCTTTTCACAACCCACTGGTTGCTGCGGTTGGAGGAGGACAGTTTGAGACCCACCCAAATGAGTATTCACGCCACCCTAGTGAGGTCAAAGCACACTGCCTGGAGGACCTTGCGGGGTCACCCACATCCTCCCACCAAGCCTGTTGAGCCCTCCAGGCAGGCAGAGGCAGCCTCTTGTGAAAAGGAGACTGGAACGGAACGTGAACAAAGTGCAGGGCTGGGCCGCTGTTACTCATGCGGAGCCCTTTGATCTGCGCGTCCCCGAGCGCCTGTGCAAACAGGAAGCTGCCGGAGCTGCTGCAGCAGTTTACCCGCTGCATTGCCAAACCCCAGCTCAGGGGCCAGAGGTCAGTGCCGCCGCTTCCCAGCTGCAGTATCAAACGCAGGGCACTGGCTGAGTGAAGGGAAGGGGCCTTCCTGGCACAGCAAGCAACGGCACAGCAGGTTCAGCTCCATCCCTTGCTCACAGGTGCTGGTCACCTCCACGCACCTTGTGGGGGGAGAAGCTGGGTGCCTGGCTCTGGGGACAGGGATGAGGATGTGAATGGAGGTGCAGATAGTCGGGAAGACCATGGAGGCAGGGCTGAATGCTCTGAGTTGCTAATAGTATTTGACACTCTTGGGTTTGGTATACCAGATGAGGAAGCTGGAAAAGTGGGATCAGAGGCTCAGGGCAGGGATCAGAGACTGGGGTCCTGCCTGGGATCAAAGAAGCCTCAGCGTTTGCCAGCACCGAAGAAGAAACAGGACTTTCAGGTAGTGACTTCCACCCATTGGAGCCAGTCAAGCTTTGATGAACAATGAACAGCTCTACAAAGATTTTATCCTGCTAAAGACACCGATGATAGGGAAACAAGCAACTGAGCCTGGACAAGCGACTCTTCCCAACATCCTTCTGACTCCTGTTGCAAAGGACACAACTTTTGTTCAAGCTATTCACAACCTGTTTGCTGCAATCATTTTCTGAGTGCTTGTTGTCTTCGCATCGGATCTCTTCAGCCACATGGCATAGCTGACCTCCCTTTATGAGGACTGAAACACTTTTGGTGCAAATATGTATTTACAGAATGATTTAGGAGGTTTCAGCAGTCTGTCAACCAGACTTGCAATCAAAAATACACCAAAAAAATGACAAATGATGCATCAGAAAGAAAAATAAATCCCTTTGAATTGATTCCAGAGGTATTTTCCACGCCTTCCTCTCCCCTTGCAGACCAAACACCTTCCCTACTGGTTTTAGCTTTGGATGCTGAAGCAGTGCTAGAATTTAAGAGAGGAGAAGCAGAAAAGTGCATCAGGTGGCTGGTGGAGTTATCCTCATGCTGGGCTGGATGGGGTTGTTGGTATGCACTGCTTGGTTGGGTGACAGCTAAAGCAGAGGTTATGATAACACATTGCATGTGGCTATTTTTATCATCATTGATATAGTGCTGCAATTCAACACGCAAAGCTCTACCGCAAGAAACACGTGCCAAGAAAACAAGCCTCCTGCTCCAGCGAACGACAGGACATCCCACAGCTACATCCCTGCTCTTGAGGAGAAGCGTTGTCCAGAGATTTTGGGGAAGAGATGTTGATGTATGATGTTGGAGGGAAGGAGCTTGGCAGAGGCTTCAGGAGGATGGAGAAGCAGTGAGACAGCAATTGCAGGGGGATGGAGGAACCAAGGTACAAGGCAGGGCCTGGTGATGTGGCCAGCTTAAGGAGCATCTGACTGTATTTCATGGCTAAACTAGTCCTCTCTGGGGGGAGAAGAGCTGTGAGCCTCCCTGGGTGAGATCATGGAGCAGGAATACCCGCAGGCAGGATGGCAACCAATGTCATATTCAGCTGGATCTCAAAATCCAGTGTTGGATTCAGCTCTGGTAACAAAGCAATGATGACTAAAGGCCAGTGAACTGTCACTCTGTCAAGTCATGAGCATGGCAATGAACTGAGGGGTTTATTTGCTTTGAGGGGGTCAGTGGTCCTGGAGAAGGGATCAAGGATAGTGAGGATGACCACAGTGCAGCAATGCACCATGTCTTGTCCTCCCTGTGCAGACCTTCCTCAGAAAACCCCTGGACTCAGTAACACGCTAGTACTTCCAGTACGGTGATCACAGACTTAAAGATTAAGGACGAAACTAGCAAAACAGTTTTTAAACCTTTTAGGTTCTTAAGTGGAAGATGAGTCTTTGAAACTGCTCCTTCCTCCCGTTCAAGATCCTCCACAGTAGCTGCACTGACCAAACCAACCATTGCTGCCCCAGCATCCTCCCCTGTGAGATATGGCAGCCTGGGATCACTATACCAAGATGGCCACGTCTGGATGGACATGAGAGAGTTGGAGTAACTAGCTGTGCTCCCTAAGGCACCTGCAGACCCCTTGCTCTCATGTCTATCACAAGCTGCACTGGAAGCCCTTGGGTTCACTCTTTATCCCACCATCCTTGTGCATCACTAACACCCACAGGTGGGACCAGGCCATTTTCCAGATGCGGGGCAACTGATAGGAGGTGGGTAACTCCAGCACACTGGCTTGTGCTAACAGCTGGCATCAGGTCCAGAGCAGCAGCAAACCAAACTTAGGCTTCCACCCTGGTCCAGAAAGGGATAGGCATTGCTGCCTGGCTGCCCATACAGCTTGGGGGAAGCAGTGCCAAGGTGGCAAATCCATCACAGCATCACATCCCTTTCCTTGTTTTTGTTGCCACAGCATCTTCAAAAAAAACCTGCTGTGCAGGAACAACTGCTTGGTACAAGTTTTGCCTGTCCTCTTCAGCCAGGCTGCAGGGAGGACAGAAAAGGACCCTGTCCCCATCCCCAGCATGGCACTACCCGCAGAAAACAGAAAGAAGGGCGGCACCACCTGAATGCAATCCAGATAAAGCCAAAAAGAGCTAAAGAAGGTTTTTTTAATGTTTGTACAGTGCTTGTGGAAAATAACACAACATTTAGTACAGAGACAATAAAAGGATGCAGTGAACCACTGAAGAAAAAGCTAATGTTAGCCTTACCCATGCGACTTTATCAGAGACACAAAGATTTTAAGGCTTAAAATGACCCTCGTTCCTACCTGACTTCCTTATTACCAGAGAATTGTACCAGTGACCTCAGCTTTTGACACAGTAACTGCTGTTTCACTAAGGTACCTCTCTCACAGGAGACCTGATGCAAAGATCTCCAAGATCTCCCATCCCTTTGTAGGGTGGATGGTGGCTCGTGCTGTTAAGGAGTCATGTCCCACTGCTAGTTCATCTGGTTTGCGTTTGTCTGAATTGCTCAGCACTAATTCTTCACGTGCCTTGTCCAGTGAAGTATTACAGTATTTTTTTCAAAGACAGGATCACAGAAGATGTTTTCTGTGTCCATGTTTTCCCACAGGACAGAGGATACTGGGAAACACAAATTCCCCCAACAGGCCGTCAAGCAAGGGGAGGCTGCAAAACAGGAGGGGCATGAGGCTGCCAGGCAGTAAAGTGTGCAGGATGCTGGGGAAAGGTCTGAGCTGTCCTAGAGCAGTCAGGTTAGGGAAAACTCCACAACTTTTACAAAGGCAGGCAGTCCAAAAAATAAGGAGGGATGGGTGTTGCCAGACTGGGGATGTCTGGCACAGTGTCTCTCCCAAAGGACCCCTTTTGCCAAGGACCCTGCTCTGTCCTTGTCCTTTTCTCCACTTTCCAACAGCTCTTTCCTACCCCGCCACCTCCTCCTGCTCTCAACTCTTTCCTGCATCATGGGTTTCACTTCCCAGATTGGTGCCATTGGGGGCATTTTTGCACCTACCTTGTTAGCCAGTGACAGGCAAGGGTTGGGATCCCGATCCGGCTGTTCAAGCTTGACAATGGTGATGAATCCTGATTCGGTGTGTTCATCCTCACTGGTGTTGCACAGGGACAGCGGGTGGGACTGCAGGACAAAAGCAAAGGGAAACTCAGATCCTGGGGCTCAGCACTGCAAAGGGTGGCTCAAGCCCACCGCAAACACTGCCTTAAGGACCTGCCCAGAGGGTATAGGACACCCCTGTGGTGGGCATCACCACCTCTGCTACATCCCATGGCCCAGTCTGAGTGTCAGTGAGGCTTTGAACACCACAAGAAGCAAATCACTGTCAGTGTTCTGGTCCACCAGGAAAATGTCCCAGAGAAAGGTGGAGTTTCTACCTTTCTGGTGGCTGCACTCAGGTCTGACTTTGTCCCAGTCACAGACACGGAAAGCCAGAGCAGCCTGTGAGACCACAGCCCTTGACTACTGGGACAAAGCGTCCCAACAGCACAGGCCCTGGTGCTGCAAGGACTGCCAGCATCCTCAGGCTGCAGGACTCTCTGCCTGCAGCCAGCTTGCTCCCTGCCAGCCCTCTGGGGGACCACAACAAAAGCAAACTTCTTATGCCCTCAAAGATTCAGCAATTCTTGTTTCTCAGCCACCAAACTCAACAACTTTATGAAAATTTGCAAAGGAGAAGCCAAAGGAAGGAGTCAAAAAACCTGAAACCTGGTAGAGAAGTACCAGGAATGAGAAGGGAGAGGAAAAGATCCCAGTAACCACATCCCCAGTGAGTCCTGGAAAAATGTTCATCAGCTTGAGCCAACGGCTGGCAGCGGGGAGCTGAGACGGGACAGGGTGGAGGCACCGGGTCTGGGTACACACCTCTGCAGAACATCCCACAGAAGGGGATACGGTATGCCCAGCGTGTTACAGGGACACAAGCTGTGGAGCTCACTCCTATCAGTGGCACTCCGTTTGGATTTCGGTGGTCAAGTTCACTGGTGGTGAGCCTGTCCTGCCACTGGGGCAGAGCTCGGACGGGCAGTACCTGCTGCCAATGGCTGCACCTCATTCCTGTGCGTTCACCACCATGATAACATCCACTGAGCACTGCTCTGATCCCTGCCTGGAAAGTGTGTAATTGCCTCTGATTTTCCAGTCTAGCAGTGGAGTGACAATGGTCTTGTGCTGGGTGGCAGGAGGTTGAAGGAAACTGCAATTCAGCTGTTGGTTCCCTCTTGGGAGTCTCATCCAAGATGAGCCCCCCCCCAGCTCTTCTATAAAAGCCATCTGGCCTCCTCCTCTGTGACTACATTGTGGTGTATGATGCACACAGGTTATGGTATAGAAAAGCCTGTAAATACTAAAGTTGCTGGACAGCTTTTGTTACTGCATTGGTGTGTGGAAGTGTGGGAAACAAGCAAGCAAGTTCAACATTATAAACCAGGAGGATTAAGGCAGGCTTTGTATCTGGTGTCCATCCAGAAGCATGCCCAGAAGCCTTGCCTACCCTGCAGGTAATCCTGCAACAGCATCCCAGTGCTGTGAAAAAAAAGGCTGTTGTCTTGGCAGATTTAAAAACAGGGGGAGGAATTGTCAGAGCAGCCCAGGGACACCCCTTGCTCTCCATCCACACTTGGCCATGCCCATGCTGCCCCAGGACCTGCGAGGCAGCGTTGCTCCCATCCTCAGGCATGGACCTGGGGCATGCAGAGATGTGGGCTCACCCCTCAGCACACGGCTGGCAGGAGCTGGGGAACGGGGCAGGCTGGGAAACAGCCAGATGATGTTTCCTCCTCCCTGCCAGCTGCTTATTGCAGAAATCCAGCTGTGGGGGAGAGGGAGAATGGGTCTCATTTCACCTAACTTCAGACATGCCCATGTCACCTTTTAATGTCTGAGCAGGTCACAGGAACAAGTCCTTCCAGGAAGCACGACTCACCCGGGCTTTTTTTAGTCAAGTCCTTCAGGAGATGCACCGTGCCCATTTCTCCCTGCCGACAATAAAGGAGTGTAGGCGATTTTCTCAGATGCAGCCAGATGTATGGAAGCCTTCAAAAACTCAAGGAGACAAGCAGCACATCCCCTCACTGCAAAATGTCCTCGTTGGCTGTCCTGGGCACAGGGAGAGGAGAGCTCTGCCTGTCAGAGCCTCTGCAGCCAGAGAGGTCGGAGTGGACTGCGCTAAAGCTGGCTGGGTCTGCGTCTTCGGAGCTGGTCCAGGTGCCGGCTGGACCACCCTGCCCCGCATCTCCCCGCCAGCTCAGAGCCACCGTCCCCGGGGCCAAGAGACGCCGGTCTTCACCCCAACTCCGGGGCTGCAACAGGAGCTGCCACCGCTTGGTGGGGCTCTTGGCCGGATCCTGCCCCTCCCCGCCGAGCTCACAGGCGGAGCCCGGCGGGGGGCTGCGGGGCATCCACCGGGGAGCTGCTCCAGGGCCGCTCCTCTCCCTTCTGCGGTCCCCCCGGAGCCCGGCAGGAGCCTGGTGGAGGCTCCTGCCGGGGACCACAGCTCCGTTCTCCCCCATCCCCGAGCAGCCCCCCATGCTGGCTGCCCTCCTGCGCCTACGCTGACCCCGCAGGCATCGGAGTTTCCCCAGGAGGGTAATTTGCAGATGTTGCCCCTTTGATCGCACGGTTAGAAAAGTGCGAGGCACGCTGCTGGCAGTCATAGGGGTGGTTTTGTGCAGCCCGTGCTGTGATACAACCCGGCACTAATTCCAAATGCACAAGCACCCCAACACTACAAAATCAGAAGGCACTACAAAATCGTTGTAGCACTAAGTCTTGGGCTACAAAACAAGAATAGGGCTTACAAAACCATGAAAGCGAGTTAAAATGGTGAGGATTAAAAAAAAAAAAACAAAACCAAAAAACACAACAACAAACCCACAACCACAGACATTTGCAAATTGCCTAGATTTTGAGGTAGGTAACACCTACGGTCACAAGGGCATAAAGAAATCAAACCCCAGACTCTCACCTAACCTTCAGGAGCTCAGAGACTGAGGTGTAAGAGATGGCATCATGAGTATGAGCTAAGACATAACCTGCTATGCTTTAAAATACTGCACAGGGTAGTTCAGCACTGATGAACTGCTGCGTGCCTTTGACTGGCAGTCCCTCATCCATCTTTCTCTTGGGGTCTTCCTCTTTAATCCATAGTGGTATTAGAAGAAAAATGTCAAAATGCTATCTAATTTAGACTTCAGACTTAAAGACACTAGAGAGAGTGCAATTGTACCAAGCCAAGCACCATAAACTCTAGAAATTCAGGTTTCCGGGGAAGCAATCCAATCTGTTATGCCTTGGGAGCACTCAGGGAAGGCTCCCAAATAACCCCGTGCTTCACCTGAGCAACAACAGGTACTGCCCCCACCAAGACCAGCATGGCATTGAAGTGCTTGTGATCCCGATGGCTTTAACAGGCAATGTCATTACTTTTACATTTTGTTTGCTTGACTGGGAGTTCTCCAGTTTTGGTTAATGTATCATTTTAATAATCGCAGAAAAACATAAAACAGGAAATGCAAAGAGCATGTCTTGTGATACTTCTAATAATTCAGAGATAACCTTCCGGCTAGCGTTATCGTGCCTTCACTGGGTTGCTCCCAGAGCCTGAAGAAGCCCAGGCTGCTGGCACTGGGGAAGAAGTCGCACCTCCCAGCACTGCTTGGAACTGTGTCCAACAGCTGTGGGTGGGAATGGCTTGGGGTGCTGTG